AAAAACAAAACAAAACAAAAAAAAAAACAAAAACCAAAAAACCAAACAAAAAAAGCCAAAAAAAAAAACACAAAACAAACAAGAAACAAAATTAAATCAAATCTAATCAAACCAAAACAAAAACCAAGCCAAACCAAGATGGTCCGTGTACTTTTGCGTTCATTCGTTTTTTCTTTTTTTTTTTATACCAGAAATGAAATACGGAAAATGGTTTTAAACACTGATGAATAGAATAGAATAGAAATGAAGATAATTCAAAATTGGTATTTCATTAAAAATCGTAAAATGATATAAAGCTTGTTTTTTAATGTATATAAATGCAAAATTTAATTTCTAGCTTTTTTAACGTCTCTATACAGACGCTATAAGCGAAGCACCCTCTCGCGCTACTGACGTGGCCTCCAGTAACCTTTACGAAAATCTTTGGCTTTGATATTTTTATGATATTGAAAATTTTTCATGCCTAAAAACATGGATGAAATACAATACTATACATATTTCTTTGCAATTAACTCTCCAGGGCCGGTTCAACGGGGGTGCAAGAGGGAACAAAACAAAAGCAAAAGCACCTCAGTTGAAGCTGTAGAAATAGGATACTGGTGAAATATTTTCCAAATGCTCCAGTGTGTATTTGTGTTTGAACTCTGGAGAGCCACAGACAAAGCCTTAGTTTGTTCATATTAAGAGATTTCTTTTATTTGTGTAACTTAGTTGTTTGATTTGGGGTTTGTTTTAAAATTTCAATTAAATTTTGTTATATTTCAATTTCACAAAGAAACGTGCAGCAATAGCCTAACCACTTCTGACTGACAACCTCACAGTCATGGGCACAGAGCCTGGCACACACACACAGATCTCTCTGGGACTTAATGAAGCGTGGACTCAAAAAGAGGGAGTGATTGTACCTGCGAGAGAACACCATTAAACTTTATGACTTTCACGCTTGTGTTTGAAACCGTGTAATGGAAGAGGAACATGTCTGTGATCGCTGGTGAGCGGCAGATAACGCATCCCATGGGCTCCGCGAGACAGGAAGACTCTGATATCACCCCGAAAACCAGGAACACCCTACACTACCACTCCTCAACATCACGGAGAAGCATTACTTCTAATTTGGCCAAAGAAAACTTGTTAAAATTTAAATTTTTCAATATTATTTTGTGAATTTTTCAAATGTATATTATGGTGCAAAAAGTCGTAAACAAAAATCTGAAAAAAGTCAATATTTTACTTTTTCAGGCAGCAATGTTGTGTGTACGGTTCTAATTTCAATTTTGGTTTTCAGCATAGCATTTAAAAACACAACTTACAAATTTTCGTCATGGCTAAAAACGGAAAAATGAATGGACGCAAAAGTACAATAAAAAAAAATCAAAACAAAACAACAAAACAACTAAACAAAAAAAAAACCCTAACCAATACCACAAACAAAACGTATTTTGCCTGCTGAACGATGGACGGACGGACGGACAGACGGACAGACAGATAGATAGATGCTGGTTTTTAAAAATGTTTATCCAATTTTTAATATATATATATACATATATATATTCAAAAATACTTTTCTAACAATTTGTATTCATATGTAAGTGTATACAACATTATTTTCAAAAGTTAAGATTCTTTAAAATTTAAAAATAAAATTATATAAATTTCATAATTTATGTATAATAAGTTGACATCTAACTGAAATACATTTAAGCACCGAAATTACCAATTGGTAGGGCTGGGCGGTATATCGAGTTTGTACGATATATCGATATTTTCTTTATAAGTGTTTCGATATGAGGCAATACCGTTTATATCGATATACAGTAGTTTGATACGAGCGCATCTGAAAATATAGCGGAGGACACAGACTGAGCTGCTGTGGAGAAAGTGCATAATCCAGTATGTTCTAAACATGTGACAAGCTTCATATTAAGGCCTTTAAAAACCGGTAAGACTTTAAGTTTATAGTTTCGTTTGGCATATTAATTTAAGCGGCTCGGCCCGTCTGCTCTGAAAGAAAGGCTGCGTGTGCCGCTGACAGAGACACTAGGCTACAATAGCCTAATAAAACGACACCTTTTCATTTACTGTATAATGACTTCAATCTCATTTTGTTAAAAAAAATCGTGAGAAAATCGAATCGTGAGTTGAGTGAATCGTTACATCCCTACACAAAATTACGACAAAATTATACCCCAATATATAATTTCATGATGATAAAGTTCCCAGGATTTCGGTTTTAAAATCATATTTGTATTAGGTCTCTGCACTTTTCCAGAGACGGCTCAAGTTCTCAACTGAACATGCGGGAGAAGCATTACTTCTAATTTGGCCAAAGAAAACTTGTTAAAATTTAAATTTTTCAATATCATTTTGTGCATTTTTCAAATGTATATTATGGTGCAAAAAGTCGTAAACAAAAATCTGAAAAAAGTCAATATTTTACTTTTTCAGGCAGCATGTTGTGTGTACGGTTCTAATTTCAATTTTGGTTTTCAGCATAGCATTTAAAAACACAACTTACAAATTTTCGTCATGGCTAAAAACGGAAAAATGAATGAACGCAAAAGTAAAAAAAAAAAAAATCAAAACAAAACAACAAAAAAACTAAACAAAAAAAAAACCCTAACCAATACCACAAACAAAACAGAAACCAAACCCATAAAAAACAAACAAACCAACAAAAAAACACCCAAACAAAACATTCACAAAAAAAATGCAGAGTAAACAAATCATCCTGAATTAGGGATTCGGGGAATTTTCAAACACACAAAAACAAATCAAGTCTATTTCAAGGTCGGTCTGGGCAGATGGACATTCATCCATCGGAGTGACAAAGGACAGAGATTTCTGGAAAGTCCAGGCAAGATCTTTTCTTTGACAGAGTCGCTCCAGTGGTCCTGAAACCACGGCCATACAGCAGAATAATCTGAATCCACCCCACCAATTTTTAATTTCTTCCATTAGAATTAATTACGAAGCCCACAGGCAATTTGTGTACTCCATATTTAATACTGCCTGCACTATTAATTAAAAACTGGTTGCTGGAAAATTAATGGAGGAATTGTTATGCCCCTGCTTTAATGAGTCTTCTCTATGACATTAAAAGAAGTACACTTCACATTTCCCTTCAGGTTCTATGTGGAAAGAAGCGTGCATCAGTGGAAATGCACAGGATCATGGGAAATGTGCAGAGGCCACAGTTACACATGTGCTTCCATTAGAAACACACAGCGTAACAAACACCGAACAGCACATGTACTAGTTACATCTGACCTTTAGAGGACCAAAGAACAAGAACAATAGTGTTTTTTTTTCCTGTTCCTGATTATGGTACAACATGACATGGAAATAAGAGTTATCACTCCTATGTGGACTATTAATTAAAAACTGGTTGCTGGAAAATTAATGGAGGAATTGTTATGCCCCTGCTTTAATGAGTCTTCTCTATGACATTAAAAGAAGTACACTTCACATTTCCCTTCAGGTTCTATGTGGAAAGAAGCGTGCATCAGTGGAAATGCACAGGATCATGGGAAATGTGCAGAGGCCACAATTACACATGTGCTTCCATTAGAAACACACAGCGTAACAAACACCGAACAGCACATGTACTAGTTACATCTGACCTTTAGAGGACCAAAGAACAAGAACAATAGTGTTTTTTTTTCCTGTTCCTGATTATGGTACAACATGACATGGAAATAAGAGTTATCACTCCTATGTGGCTGCATTTAATAATATATATATATATATATAATGTGGATACAAATAGTAAAATAAATAATATTATTATATATTCAATAATATTTCATATTTAAAGCTATTCAATATATTTGACTATTTTTAAATATATTTTAGCTTTTTAGTTTTAGGTGTTTTACATTAATAATCTAATCTATATATAATAATT